AATACACTTATGCAAAAAGCTATACTATGCAAACAACTATATCCTGATATATACTCTTTCTACTGCGCGATGAATTGGTATAGAGAAAACCAAGCATGTTCTAAAGATTTGTTTTTGTTTGTTAGGGTTTTTTTGGGGGGGGAGAGGGGTTCCCATCCCCTACCCCCAAACTAACTGGATATCAGTTCCTGAGTATGAGGGGAGAACATAAAACTAACTCAAGAGCTACCCACTCCCTACATGGAGCATCACTGACTTCTGGGGCATGACTAGACCCTATGGAGGCTCACTGCAGAATCTTTTAGAATCATTAAAAGAGTGAGTGCTAGCTCCTAGGAGTTAATTGACTCCCCTTTACCTGATCTAAATTTCCGATTTAATTAAATAACTTCCTGTCTAAATACTTTATCTGATAGTCACTGGGGACATTTGAACTGTTCTAGAGAGTCCAATCTTTCTATCAAGACATCTGACAAAGACCTCTTCTCAACACTGAAATGTTGTGAAAAATTCTCAGACACTTGGAAGTCACAAATTGATGGAAAGCAGATTTAGGTTGGACATTAGAAAGAACTTCACAGTAAGGGTTGCCAGAATCTGGAATGTGCTTCCAAGGGAGGTGGTGCTCTCCCCTACCTTGGGGGTCTTCAAGAGGAGACTGGACAAGCACCTGGCCAACTCCTCTTTCACTTAAAAATAAATGTTAACTAAATAGCTATCTAAAACTTTCTTCACTTCCAACTTCATACATAGTCTTTCCCTTCTACCCCCTCCCACCAACCTGCATTTGACTTCCAAGAATTTAGGCACCTAGAATAAATGCCTAAAGGTGAATTTATGCACACAGTTGAATATCGGCCCAAAATGTATAGGGCAAACCAGCAAAATTATAGTTTTATGCAGGGTCTAAAAACCAGTTATTCTTTGTACTTCTGTATTCATGGTGATCTCAGTTTGTTTGTTTGTTTGTTTGTTTTTGTTTTTGTTTTTTTTTTGTTTTGTTTTTTTACAAAGCAAACAGAAATCTGTTGTTAAGCCGGGATGCCAAAAAAAGACAGTTCTGCTTTATGATTCAGAACACAAATCTACTGGGAGGTGCTATTTTCATTTCCTCATCTGGTGTATTTAAGAGGAAAGAGATCTTGTGCTTCTATTTCTTTTCATGTGGCTTTTCTACTTCAAATACTCCATGTTGCATTGTCCCAAGCTGTGTCAGCTTGCGGTGTCCTGACACAGGAACAGGAAATCACAAACTAGAAGAATTTCTTGATGTGGAAATCTCATTGTTCATGCTTTAATGATGGGATCATAAAGAAAGGAAGTCTGTGACAAGAGCTATTCAACAGCATTTAAAAATCTTTCTAGCTGCTTTTTATGCTGACCATATGTTACTAACCAAATGGAAAGTCAGCCCAGTCATATTCCCAGTAAATCCATTAATATTAACACAATATTAAACAAAAGATTCATAGATGCTAGGGTTGGAAGGGACCTCAACAGAGCATCAAGTCAGACTCCCTGCCTAGGCAGGAAAGAGTGCTGGGGTCAGATGACCCCAGCCAGATGCCTATCCAGCCTTCTCTTAAAGACCCCAAGGTAGGGGAGAGCACCACCTCCCTTGGAAGCCCATTCCAAATTTTGGCCACCCTTACCGTGAAGAAGTTTTTCCTGATATCTAGCCTAAATCTGCTCTCTATCAATTTGTAACCACTGTTTCTTGTTACCCCAAAAGGTGCCCTGTTGAACAGAGCATCTCCAATCCCTTGCTGCATCCCCCTAATGAATTTGTAGGCAACCACAAGATCACCTCTCAGCCTTCCCTTTATGAAGGCTGAAGAGGTCCATGTCCCTCAGTCTCTCCTCATAGGGCTTGTCGTGTTAGCCCCTAACCATACAAGTGGCTCTCCTCTGGACCCCCTTGGGTCTAATCAACATCCTTCTTGAAGTACAGCACCCAAAACTGGATGCAGTACTCCAACTGCAGTCTGACCAGTGCTACATAGATCCAAGGAAGTGATATTTCCCCTCTATTTCTCATGTATCTGCTGATGCATGATAAAGTGTGGTTAGCTTTGCTAATGATTCCCTCACACTGACGAAGAAAATGTGGGCTTTAATGCTGAGCCCATGAGGTAGAGTGCTAGGTGAGAATCAAACCTCCCGTAGCATAAGCCAGAATCCCAATTCAGCTCCCCTAAGATAAAATGAAAGTCAGTGAAATGAGGGACTTCGAGAGTTCAGAATAAGGATATGGAGAAATAGAGACTGCCAGAACATGTGAACAGCCCAACTGCTGGAAAATCTCTACACATCTTATGTATATCCTCCTTTGTACTGAAGTTTCCATGTCAGCATGATTATTAGTTGACTATTTTATAGAGCCATTACATAACAAATGGATGTAAGAAGTGGCAGAGAGTCAGTGTTGTTAAGAGTTGTTTCCTGTGCTGTTAAGTGAACACAAATTAAATCAGTACTCTGTCTTGTCTCACTAAATGAGATTCTAATAGCATTCTTGATTCTTCTTTGTGTTGGGGAAGATATGGCTACTTCAAGTCTTTCCTAGTTGTGCAGAGAGAGTCGTCTTTGTCGAAGCAGTCATTCCAGGATTCATGATTACATGCAGATGATCACAGATTAGGTTCTGAACTTTCCTGTGTGCATCGTGACTGGCATCTTGGTTGTCCCCATGGATTAAGCCCAAAATTTCTAGAGTTAAAAACATAAGCCTTCATAGCTTGAGCTAAAGCCAGAAGTTGCAGCAGGCTCAGAGCCAGATCTTTAAAACTATATCAGATTGGATACCTTATGGTCTAAATATTGGTCTTAGGTGCCTAAAGTCCTTGGAGGCTCTTAGATTTCTGCTAGTAAAGTCCTCTGAATGCATAAATTTATAACAGTGGTGCGCAATCTGTTGGCCCCACAGGCCAACAGATTGAGTAGTGTAGGGCTGGTCCTATACACAGGGATTGGGCCCTGAAGTCCATGTTTAGCCTATGTGCCTACATC